TCTTTTTGGTTGTAAGTAAAATAAAATACGTATTTTGATGTGGTGGTTTTACATTTTCTTTATAATTTTGCTTTTTAAGCAAAAATAATGCTTGAATTATTGAAAAACAAATCGCATGTTGTTTTGCTTAATAAAATTCTTTTGCGTTGAAGCCTTTCTTTGCTGCAACTGGTAAACGCTCGCCGATCAAAAATGGATTTGTCCTGACGCTCTAAAATTTCAAAAATTCGCGTAAAGTCTTTAAATTTTAATTTAATTTTAATTTAATTAATTTTACGAACCTTCTTATCATTGTTGAACTTCTTGGCCACTAAACCTTTGTGTTGTATGCCTGAGGTATCCTAAGATAAATTCAAAATGATTAATAATGCAGTTTTTTAAAAGATAAATAAATATTTATTTAGTACCTGCAGTGCCTGCTGGAAAAATCGATTGAATTCTAAATCATTTAGAGGCGAATCCATGTTTCCGTTGGATAACTGAGAGATCATCGGGCTAGGACAGTCGAACATGTGTTCTGTGTCACACATGCAATCCTGTTCGGCCTGGTAACGACGACTGAAAGCCGCAGTGTTTTTGAATTCTTCCAAACATCCATTTTCAGCTAAAATTTTAAGGAAAAAAATTAAATTTAAAGGAATAAAAACACAAATCAAGCAGTTTAGCGCCATTTTGCTTTTCTTTAGTAAAAAATATCTCAATACCAAAATTTATCAAAATTGATTGAGTGTTTTTCACGTGAAAGCGTCACTAACAAACAAAATCTCATTTGCATTTATATTAAAACGATGTTACCACAACATAAATTAAATTTTAAACTATTTATGGTTAAAATTTCATTAAAACCGGTTATAAACTGAATATGCAACCCACAAAATCACAATAATATTCCGTATAAAATTATTAAAATTAATAATCAATGCAAACCACAATTAAAAGTGGTTATATTTAAAATTTCTATAAAACAAAATCAAGAATACAATATTTTACTACCTGTGTATCCAATCGGGCAAGGATTTGGCGGATTGCAATAAGCTGGTAATGCCGCATCGGTCTTCACCTCTTGCCGATTCTTCAACAAACCCTCGGGTTGTAAACGCTGCTCACCCTCACCAGCGCCCCCTGACATATACTGACTACCCCACAGCGAACTATGCTGCAGAAATTCACTATCACGCAGGCTCGGATGCAGTTGCCCTTCACTAAGCGAATCATAGTCCAACGGATAGAG